CATTGGGCTCCCACGGCCTTGGTCACAATGATATCACATTGTGACTCAGTGCTAGGTCTAGCATTAAGCATTGGTGCAGTGTTGCCAACTCTCACGATTTTATCAGAAGTCTTACAATATTTGGTGTTTTTCTTAAGGCCCCAGCTCCTGGAGTCCTATGATTGCATGGGAATTTGTTTTCATTGATTAAAAACACTAAGTTTCTAACTCAGGATTGTAGAGAAAAGCTTGAAAAAGTGATTCAAGTGCACCCTAAAGGCCCAAAAACCAGGAAGCAAATAAAAAGAACCCAACATTTTTTTGAAATAGCTTATCCTGTTTTCACTGTTCAGAATAAATGCTGGCATAATCTCTTCCCTCACCCAGGGATCCTCAGTGCTTGGAAGGCCTGCCTAGAAAGGAAGGAGTATTACCTCCCTGACACCATGCTCCCTTCACTTGCACAATGTGGATGCTGTAGCATTCAGCCCAAATGGAGCTCTGCTGTGGGGAAGGGTGGGGTGGTGTAGAGGAGAGGGCAGAGCAGGGAAGGTGCTCTCTGCAGCACTGTCTCCGGCAAAGCCTGGAGATTTCGATGCCCACATCCAGGCATGAAGCAAAAGAGCTTGATCTCCTCTATAGTGGCTGGTGTGTGGCTGCAAAGGGGCCCAACCAGAGACAGCAGGTCCTTCTGGAACTGTACTGCCAGGAAGAAGAGGGACATGCACTTCTCTCTACATAATATCTCCTGTCTCTTTGATAAAGGTGTCTTTCTTCCTGCAAATTCCCAAAGTCTGTGTGGCTGGGAGAGGCTGGGGTCCCAAATCCATGCTTCTCACAGCAGACAGGATAGTTCCACAAGAATTAAACCTCAGTTTTGCTGGCTTCCCCTTCACTCTCCCAGCAGGCTTTTCTAAAGCGGGGCAGTCCAGCTCACAGCTACTATTTTGTGTCTAAATCCTAAGTAATAAAGAATGAGAGAAGAGAAATGGCAGCAATTATACTTCATGAGTTATGAGCAGGATGAGTTTGCCAATGCTTTAAAAGTCTTCCCTGAGGCCCGAGTGAGGTTTTCAATGTAGATATTCCACAAAAAAAAAGCATGTTAGTTTTAGTTTTGTTTACATTTTGTGCGCTTTTCACAGTCCTACTATTGGCTCACAATACTCAACAAATAAAAGGAACATAAACTATAGCTTGAGGTCTCAGTGAAAGTTAGACGCTCACACATGAGAGACACAATGCAAACAATGTGAAAACAGCCAATAGACTTTGGGTGAGGTGTACTGCATGTGTGTGCCTGGAAAGCCGCAGCTGGGAAGTGAGCCAAGGGGTAAAATTGTTATTCCACGATTCTTGCTCCCCAAAACACACAGCACTGATATTTCTAAGGCCTTTCATGTCTTGAGCTGTGAAGGGATTGTCCCAGGTCAGACCTAGGGATCGATAGGTATGGTCCATGTATTTTAATCTGAATTTCCGTCTCTACCTATAGCCATGTGTTTGTCATGAGTGATCGGTGCTGTATTGGGTCTGTTGAAAGAACCAGGGACAATTAGAATACAGGAGGCCAAGTAAACGCTACCCCTTGTTTTGGACCTATTTGGAGGGCAAAAATACAAGGGAGAGACAAAATCTGGTCCTTTAAATCTGTGAGTCTAAATAAGAGAAACATTACAGGATCATATGAGATTATACTTGCCTTGAAAACAACTTTTAGAATGGCTTCAGCATAGTCTCTAATTTTGTGTGCGCAAATACTAGTTTACATGTGTGCAAATACTAGTTACATGGGCAGTTTCATTCATGCAAAATTAGAGGCCGTTTCTGCTTTAAAAAGGCCAAATGACTGTGTTTGCTCAACTGAATACAAGAAACCCTTAGGATGTTGACTGTAACAGCGTGAACCGGGGAATGGTGCAGTCGAGTAAGTCGAGTGATGTACAGCACGGAGAGAGTGACCAATGCATTCCCATCGAGGAGATCCCTACCAATGTTTCATCCTACAACCAGTGTGCAAACTTGTTGGAGACAGCCCTGAGCTACATAGCTTGGAAGCAGATCTGAACTTTTCTGGAGTTTTGGGTGTGTTCACATCCAGGGGTTTGGTATGGCCGGTTAAGAGGAGAGAGGGAGGCATGCTAGAGGCCAAGTTTGCATCTGGATACAGATTTTGGTTCATGTCCTTTGCACAGTTTAAAAGTCACCAATTTGATTTCAACATATCAATAAATGCTCGATTGGGGAAAGTCAAACTTCAGTCTGAGCCTTCAGGGTAGCCAAAGCAGAACTAAAGCAATGAATGGCACGTAGACACCTGCTAGAGCTGCATAACAATATCAAGAAAAACATAGTCCGTCTTTAAGGGCCAACACTTCAAACCAGCCTCTACTTGAATAGGAATATGTCTGCCCCTTGCCCCATCTGTTCCCATTGCATCTGTCTGGGTGGAATGGTATGGGGAATAGTGACTGAGGTACTGAACTCCTAGATTCTATCACCATCCTTTTCAAGGAAAATTCAAAGTGAAGTCAGACTGTATGTCCTAACTCCCCGACCCCCTTTTTTTTTTTTTTTTTTTTTTGGCTCCTGAATTGAGCTAACATTGACTATCCAGAATTCTTCCTTTGATTTCTCACTAACAACTGAATCATAGCCTAGGACTCTCTCTTGTTTTAGATTTGTGCCCTTGCTATGTACTGTACTTTAAAATGGGCTGCTTCCCCCAAACTGATTGTTCTAAATCAAGTGGCTTGGAATGGGGTGAATCCAGAGACATTGTCATTGGTTTGTTACAGGGGGTGAATCTTAGCAGAAGCTTGGCTGTCATCAAACACTGTGTATTTGAAACAGCTTATCTAAAGGCTTGTCTTCACTGCAGTGTTAGTTCTGTCTACAATCCAAGTTAGCCTAGCTAAAGTGAGAGAACAACACTCATGCAGCACAGAGTGTGTGTAATAGGAGCACAGGGTAGCTGCGTCAGCACTGCATTCCTAGCTCCAGCATCAGAAACACTCAAGATTTTAACCCACGCTCCCTGATGGACCAGCTGGCTCAAGTTTAATGCACCACTTAACTCAAGCTAGAGCTTTTGTATGTGAACAGAAGTCAGGTTAGAGGCAATGCTGAAGTTATATCTCAAAAAAAAAAAAAACAGTACAATGAGACATGCCCTAAAATGCGAGCTCTGAAGTTGGAGCATTTTTGTATCATGTGTGAGGAAGGATGGCTTTGCAGTGAAGGCTTGGACTTGACAGAGAGTCCAGTTCTTGTTTCTGCCACAGTCTTCCTGTAAGACTTCAGGCAAGTCATTTTAGGGCCAGATTTTTAAAGGTATTTAGGCACCTAACTCCCATTGAAATGCCTTTAAAAATCTGTGCCTAAGCTCTCTGTGCTTGAGTTCCTCATCTGTAAAATGGAGATAGTAATACTTCCTTTCTCCCTCCTTTTTGGTCTTGCCTATTTCCTATTTAAATCATAGGCTTTTAGAGTCATTGAGTAACTTTTAGTGTGTGTATGTACAGCCCCAAGTAGAAGGGAGCTCTAATCTTAGTTGGAACATCTAGGAGCTACTCTAAATCCAGCTAATAAATAGTGCCAATAAGGTACAGTGCATGTTTAAGTGAGATGCACTGTCACACACAGAGATGAGCAAAAAATTTGTAATGACTAATTTTAATAGATTTGATGTATTATACTAGATTAGATTGTGAGCTGCTGAAGACTGTTCCTTTGTGTTTGTATAGCACTCAATGGGGCTTTGATCCTAATTGCAAGCTTTAGGAGTTATTGCAATACAAGTAATTAATAAGATGAATGTTTATCTAAGACCTAAATTCTAGCTAGTTTGTAACATATTGCCAGCATGCTCTCCCCTAATGAAAACTCCCAGTCAGCTTATGCCATCCTTTCCTCTGCACATAGGGCTTTCTCCTGCACTATTAAAAATCAGTGGGAGTTTTGCCATTGATCTTAATGGCAGTAGGACCAGAGCCATAGGGTCAAATCCACAGCGTGTTTAGAAAGGAGGCATTGCTTGGCTGAGGGAGGGAAGAGTGTGGGACCCCTTTCTCTGACCCCCTTACAGTGGTGCAAAGATCTGCTGAAAATTTTAGCATCGGTGCTTTTTTATTCTGGCATGCAGCCACGTATATTTAATTCTTATTGAAAAGTGTTTCTAAACGTGGTAAATATTTTCAAATTCTAGGGGGCAATATTGATTGTAGTGCTTGTGGAGGAGTGGGAATTTTATGAATCTCCAATCTCCTCTTGTATGTTGACTAACACCATTTGGACATATAGCATCAAATTACTATAGTTTTCATCTACAGGTGGCTACAATGAAAGCATTGTAATCAGTAAAACCTGATATCTGTTTAAATTGGCTCTACATACTTTTATGGGTGAATTGTATTGAAACTATTATAGTCAGTCTTCTCCATCTCAGATAGTTGCGTATTATTTTAAGTAAATATGTCTCTACCTAGGCATTTTCTGTTCCTTGCAGTCATGTTGGGATCTCAAAATAGTATTTGAACTAAGAATATGCTTCCTGAAAATCATACTTGGGGCCTCAATGGGATGAATTGTCTCATCTTCCTTTACTGCTACCCATCCCAACAGTGACTGTGTAAAGGAGCAGTAGCCAGAAATTCAGCCTATGCGTCAACTGGAATTTAGAGTTTTACAGCGTGTTTTCACTGCAGAGTTCGCTCAAGATGATTGGATTAGCAGCACAAAGTAGATGAGTCGTCCCTGCATTACTAGCACAAGTATCATCAGTACTCATGCTTCAACCTATGCCCCCAAAGGGCCAGCTGGCTCAAGCTGAACGCACCACTTAACTCGAGCTTGGCTCCTGGCATGTTGCTGGAGTGATCTTCCAGTTGGGCAAATTTGAGATATCCCTGACTTACTGGGGGGGGTTTGTGACTGATAGTAAAACTGTCCATTGTGATGAACTCTAATGCAGTCTGATATGCTGATGTTACGATGGTGTTTTATTTCTCTCTCTCCTCCAGCTGATGGTATCTTGCCTGTGGAACAAATGAAGGAAAATAGATACAAAATGCATGCTCTGTGTAAATTCTGTGATGTGGAGGTGACAACCTGCACACAGCAAGGTCACTGCAATAGCAACTGCAACCGCACTTCCATCTGTGAGAAGGAGAATGAAGTCTGTGTAGCAGTATGGTAAGTTCATTCTTTTTTATGGGTTAGGAGAAGAAGGTCTACTTCTGTCATTTAGAAGTTGCTCTTACTGCCAAGACATTCAAAACGTTCTTCTGGAACGTTCAGTCTAAGTGCAGCCACCATGACAGACTGTATTCTCTTGCCCCTGACTCTTCTCTGTGCTAGAATTGCTTGAGGTTAACAAAAATTCGGATATGAAATGTGTAAGGTTGGGTTTTGTTTTGTTTTTGTTTTTTAGACCAGTTCTGTTCCAGCTTATGCTGCTGTTGAAAAAGAGTTATGTTTTTCCTCAGCCCATTAAACTGCATCCACCCTGAAAGCACACTGAAAGTAGAAACAGATTTGAGACTCTTAAGAGTAGATCATGGTTGTGTTATCTGTTGTGAATGGAGGAAAGCAACGTTTCAAGTTAAACCATTAAACAACAAACTGATGCTATCATTTAGATTATATGTGCCTATCACAGGAGCTTTATGTACAGTGTGTGGGCGGAAGTGCTTTACGTGTATAGTAGTATATACATAAAGGAATCCTTTTTTCTATCTCCTGTTTAAATATAGTGACTCTTGGAGATTATTTAACTATACCTGAGACAAAAGAAACCATGGGCATATAAAATTCAATGACGTGTGATGCGTTCCTGAAGTGTTTGATGAATCTAAGCTTTCAGTTCATATTTAGAATTAAATGGTTCTTGCCCTTCTAGTCATGAAGCCAGCATTGACAATGAAAACCAAAACATTCTTGTCTTTTTTTTCAGTTCACAACCAGGCAGAAGCTACAGCATAGAAAACTTGCAAACCTTCCATATATGTCACTGAATGTTAATGCTGAAGCCTAATTAGGAACATCTAGGTGAAAAAATGATCAATCATTAGAAATATCCTGTGAGGCCCATGGCTTTGTTACATCCGTTCACTTGAAAAGGTGTCCAGCATGAATGAACATGGACACATCAAATGTAGAAATAGTGCAATGTTCTATTTTGTGTCTGATGAGTAAAATAAATGTTCTGTGTGCTACAAAGTGGCTGCAGTGCAGTTTGAGGTTCTCTGGATTGTTAATGCAACTGTATTTAGAAACAGCAAAGGCAAGCCAGTTTAATGAGTCAATAAATACAACTGAGTTGTCCTTCTAGTCCCATCTCTTATGTTGCATAATGAAATGTTAGAGGTGGACCAAAAAAGCATCAAAAGTATGGGCCAGATTCACAGCTGGTGTAAATTGGTGTCACTTCTGTTGAAGTCAGTGGAGCTAACTGGTTTGTAACAGCCCTATATTTTTAAAATACATACGCACTGCTGAAACTATCTTAGGGGAAAAAACACCCTGAAATTCCACAGATTTTGCAGAGATCATTCTTTTTTTTTATTAAAATTTTCCAAAGGTTTTTGGCATCTTTGCTGATAACCACAGAAACAATGTTGTGGGGGGGTGGATTTTTTTAAAGGGATCTCTTCACCACGAGACTGCAATGAGGATCCAGTGCTTAGCACATTTTACTTGATAACCGTGGAAGTTCAAGAAACAGGAACTAGACAAAAACAAGACACAGCACTGAACCAATTCAGATGAAAGGATGATTTACCTTTGCCTCAAATTTGAACCAAGTCTGTTTTGGGTTTCCAAGCAGTTCAGTTTAACTTTAGTTTGAATTGTTAGGGTGTTGTTTTTTCAAAAGCATTCAGTGCTGGCCTAACTGTGCTCCAGTTGAAGTCCCCTGGTTATATACCGAGAGAGCTGCTGCAGTGCACAAATCCACAGTGTAGACAAGCCCACAGAAGGTAAAATTCATCCCTGTGCAATGAGGCTACAGTAAGACTATATAAGCTTAACTTTCACAACAGGGTGAATTTTGCCCAGAAAGAGTCGTAACTATTCTCTTGATAGGATTGTCTCCTTTTGGTTTTGGTTTTTAACTCTCCTTTTCATTTTTAGGAGACAGAATGATGCAAACACAACTTTAGAAACAATATGTCATGATCCTGCTCTGCCAGTCTCTGAACATAAATTGGAGGACCCTGGCTCAAAAACCTGTGTTATGAAAGAGAAGAAGGCAGCTGGTGGACTGCTGTTCATGTGCTCCTGTAAAGAGGAAGAATGTAATGATGAGATCATCTTTTCAGAAGGTCAGTTTAATTTCTCTTCTCCCATCCCTCCTGCTGCCAGGCAACATGGGTTGTTTTCTAAGACTTTCCTGTGGTCTAGAACCTCCTCTTGGGGCAAATCCTGCCTCCTCAGCCACTGAGGAGAATCCAAAGAAGCAATGTAGTTCCATAAATTTCATTAAATTGAATTTGTGGCTCCCCGATGGTTGCACCCAATGCCTGAGCCAGAGTGCTTTCAGGTTCAATCCTACCGCATCCAGTGGGAAATCTTACATTGTGGAGTACCCATAACTTCATTCCTTAATTATATGGTTGGTTTTCTACTAAAAGTCACTCTCTGTTAAGTTTGCATTCCATTTCATGCATGGAGATAATCAAATAATCCATAATCAGTAATATTTGCAGCTAATTTTACCTTTTTGTCTATTTGTGCAATGTCTGAAGAGCTTGTAATTTTCCTCTCATTTATTTGCTATTCAAAGTTGTTCCAAATTTTTTTTTGGGGGGGGAGAGGGGGAAAGACACGGGGGACAGATGGAATTTTTGCATACTTGGTATTTAAAATCCCAAATTTCGGTTATATGCCATGCCATATAGTGAGAAATCTGGAGCCAGATCCTTGGGTCTGGATGAGTTCTGCTTTTGTTTTGCAGGCAGAGGCAGAGTTGGAGATGGACAAAGTTGGCTGTATGTAGTTCTTAGGCAGGGTCTGAGGGGAGAGCTCACAAGGAGTCACTCTTGCATGCCTGCCCCAACCTAGGGATAACTTCTATAACCACGAGCAATTAAAGCTCCTGCATTCTGGGAGCACAAAGGTTTTTCCCTATGTACAACCCCAAGGGGGGATATTTCCAAAGGAGGAAGGGGGCCATGGCTCCCCTGCATCAAGCCCCTTGCAGTGCGGACTAGCCACACCACAGGATCCAGGGTACACCATCTTAAAGGCACTATCCCTCCCCAAGTTCCCCAGGGTACTGCAGCTCTCCTAGTGTAAGCACAGCTCTTCTTCGAGTGCTTACTCATGTCAATTCCATTCTAGGTGTGTGTGCCCACGTGTACATTTGTCAGAGATTTTTGCCTTAGAGGTCTGTGTTGGACCGGCTATGGCGCCATTTGGAGTGCCACGCTCACGTGGCAGTATATAAGGCGCCTCCAGCCCTATGCCCTCTTAGTTCCTCCTTACCGACCGTGAAGGTTGGTTGGAACGTCTGGTCTTGCTTAGCAAGAGCATTAGTGGTGTTTAGATTGTTCTCCTTTATGGTTTAGTACAGTGATTAGTTAGGACTTGACTACACTTGCGAGTTAGAGTGTATTAAAGCAGCCCCGGGCACCCTAACTCAGAACGCGTCCACACTGGCAAGGCACGTAGAGCGCTTGGGCTCCGCAGCTGGAGCGCTCCTGGTAATTCACCTCCACGAGAAGCATAATGCTTGCTGCACCCCGGCTGGAGCACCGCGGCGCCAGTGTGGATGCCCCAGACTACTAATGCACTCTGATTGGCCTTCAGAAGTGTCCCACAATGTCTGTTCTAGCCACTCTGGTCATCACTTAGAACTCTACTGTCAGACCCACCCTTTAAATTCTCTGGGAATTTTGAAAATCCCCTTCCTGTTTGCTCAGCCAGGCGTGGAGTTCTCTCAGCGAATCTTTCCAGATCACCATGGCTCCACGCGCCAGGCAATCCCCAGTATGGAGCAGTGGCGAGGTGCTGGACCTCATCAGTGTTTGCGGGGAGGACGCTGTCCAGTCCCAGCTGCGCTCCAGCCGTAGGAATTACGATCCCTTCGGGCAGATATCAAGGGACATGATAGAAAGGGGCCATGACCGGGATGCACTGCAGTGCAGGGTTAAAGTGAAGGAGCTGCGGAATGGGTACCGCAAAGCGTGCCAGGCAAACAGCTGCTCCAGTGCTGCCCCCGCAACCTGCCATTTCTACAAAGAGCTGGATGCAATACTTGGGGGTGACCCCACCTCCACTCCAAAGACCAACATAGACACTTCAGAGCCCAATTCAACAAGGCAAGAGGAGGAGGAAAGCGGGAGCGAGGGTGCTGAGGAGGAGTGGGACAGCTTGGCATCCCTAGACGCATGCAGCCAGGAGCTGTTTTCAAGCCAGGAGGAAGATAGTCAGTTGCAGCGGACGGTGCTTGCAGAAGAACAAACAGCAGAGGAGGTGCTCAGTAAGTGGCTTTTATTCAGGGAAGGAAGTTGTTCCGTGCAGACTCTTGGGGCAAGGGGGGTTAGGGTTGCACGCATGCCTAGATGCGAAATAGGGTGTTGATGTGCTCTCACATCACGGTAATCAGCCTCAGTGATCTCTTCAAAGGTCTCATGCAGAAGCTGGGCAATCCGCTTGCACAGGTTCCTTGGCAGAGCGACTGTGCTCCTTGTCCAGTAAGGCTAACAAGTCCGTGACGCTGTGTCATGACGGGCTGGGGGTCCATTGCTGCACATAGGCAAGCTGCATATGGGCCAGGGCAGAAGCTGCATTGTAGTAGAAGACCCTCCCTTGCTTCCCAGGTAACCCTCAGTGGCGAGATATCTTCCAGGATGAACTCATCCTGTGGAAAATGTGGGGACAGTGTTCAGTATAGGGGCCCCCTGCAGCTGTTGGCTGTCCCCAGGGTACAGAACCCCAGAGGACAGTACGGGCGTGAAACAATCAGTCCCCCTTGCCCGTGTGCTTATTCACCATTTTGGGGCTCCTGTGGGTTATGTGCGCTCACTTTGGGATGGGCAATTTCTGCTATTGTATACACTGTGCTTGACTTTAAGTACAGCCGAATCATTGCTCTGTCTGGTGTGAACAATGCTGCCTCTGTTCAGTGTTGCATTTTGGCTTTACAGCTGCAACCTTGAGATCCCAGCCGTCTTTGTTATCACCGGCCGAAAGACTCCAAAGAATCAGGAAGCAGCCGCATTGAAGCAAAGAGACCATGCTGCATGAAGTAATGCAGCAGTCCCTTAATGAAAATCAAAAAGTGCAGGAGTGGTGGGAGAGTGAAAGAAGGGTACACTAGCAGAATGTGGATCGTCGGCACTAAAGCACGGAGCTGCTGCTAAGCATCATGGAGCTCCAAGCGGACTTGATACGTTGCTCATAGCAATGCAGGCGGAGCACTTCCATGCCCACCACCACCACCTGCAGCCCTTGTCCCAAAACTCTTTCCCTGTGCCCCCATGTCACTGCCAACCCACTTTCCACAACATTCAGTTGCCTCCAACACCTGTAGCTTCACCACCCAGCCCTGCAAACTACGACCCTTACCCACGGCACTCAAGCCACATCACCATGCATTTTAGCCAGCCAGAAGTGCAGCACTCATTGCACAGCACTCCAGACAGGAAGTCTGAGTATGATAACAGGACATACACAAATCTGTGATTGGCTCGTTCCCATCCCACCCCCTTTCCTCATCCCAAACAGCACAGATGTGTCATGCCCTTTCTGTTTCCAAAGCAGTTGTGTTTCTTTTCAATAAATGATTTTTTTGGCTTTGAAAACATTCTTTATTATTGCATTAAGTAAAAGATACCATAGCCCATGAAAGCAACAGGCACTGCAAGTCAGTGTATCATACGTAGCAACCACAGATTCCTACTATCATTGGAACCACTGCACTTCACTCCTGTGCGGGGCACCAAACATTACTGGTGGCTTTCAGCCTCAAATTGCTCCCTCAAGGCATCCCTAATCCTTACAGCACCGCGCTGGGCCCCTCTAATAGCCCTGCTCTCTGGCTGTTCAAATTCAGCCTCCAGGTGTTGAACCTCCGAGTTCCATGCCTGAGTGAATCGTTCACCCTTCCCTTCACAAATGTTATGGAGGGTACAGCACGTGGATATAACCGTGGGGATGTTGTCATCGGCCAGGTCCAGCTTCCCATACAGAGAGCAGCAGCGGCCCTTTAAACAGCCAAAAGCACACGCCACAGTCATTCTGCACTGACTCAACCTGTTGTTAAACCGCTCCTTGCTGCTGTCAAGGCTCCCTGTGTAGGGTTTCATGAGCCACGGCATTAAAGGCTAAGCGGGGTCTCCAAGGATCACAGTGGGCATTTCGACTTCCCCTACGGTGATCTTCTGGTCTGGGAAGAAAGTCTCGGCTTTCAGCTTTCTGAACAGGCCAGTGTTCCAAAAGATGCATGTGTCATGCACCTTTCCGGACCAGCTTGTGTTAATGTCAATGAAATGCCCATGGTGATCCACAGGCAACTGGAGAACCATAGAGAAGTACCCCTTCCGATTTATGTACTCGGAGGCTAGGTGGGCTGGTGCCAGAATTGGAATATGCGTCCCATCTATCGCCCCTCCGCAGTTAGGGAAACCCATTTCTGCAAAGCCAGCCATAAAGTCATGCATGTTACACAGAGTCACAGTTCTTCTGAGCAGGATGCAGTTAATGGCCCTGCAAACCTGCATCAACACAATTCCAACAGTTGACTTTCCCACTCCAAACTGGTTAGCGACTGATCGGTAGCTGTCTGGAGTTGCCAGCTTCCAGATTGCAATAGCCACCCGCTTCTCCAGTGCCAGGGCAGCTCTCAATCTCGTGTTCTTGCGCCGCAGGGTGGGGCAAGCTCAGCACACAGTCCCATGAAAGTGGCTTTTCTCATCCAAAAGTTCTGCAGCCACATCCCAGACTTGCATGACTGTGATCCCACCACTCAGTGCTTGTTTCCCGAGCCCAAAAGCGGCGTTCCACGGTGGTGAGCATGTCCATGTATGCCACAAGCAATCTCGTGTCATATATGTTATGTGAGTCGACATCATTGTCGGACTTCTCACTGTTAGTTTGTAGCTTAAGGAGTAACTCGACTGCAATTCGTGACATGCTGGTGAGACCCATCAGCATATTCCTCAGCAGTTCAGGATCCATTCCCGCAGACCAAAAGGGAAGACAGAGCGCCCAGTACAAAAAATGTTGAAAGATGGCACCAAATGTGGACAGAAGCACAGGGACTGCTGGGATGCGAAGCAATAAATCACAGGGCGTTGGGACAGGACCCAGAATGCCCCGC